TCATTATACAAAGTTGATACTTGTTTAAGCATTGGTTTTGTTGTTGAGTAGCTATAATCTTTTTGGTATCAGAGCCATCTTATGGTTTTACCATATTGGTTCTAAACTCGAGTTGTTGTGTCTTTTGCTTTAATTTTTCAGATTTTCTCCTCCCAAAAGGAGGAAGTCTTACTTGAAAATTTTTTAGTTGTTCACCACTTGAACAATTCATTTTTGTGTTCTTCATACTTATCTTGCAATATTCAAGTTGTTCATAATCATATATACCCTTTGGTACAACGTTATTGGGTTAATTATTGGTTGATTTGTTTGGTTTGAAATTGTTGGATTGTGAAGTTGTTGTTAGTATTATTGTTGTTGGTGTCTCGGACGTCCAAAGAAAAGAAGAGGGTGAAGGGAACTCCTAAACCCTAGTCTCAGCCGCAAGTAGGTTTGAAAAGAAAAAGAAAGAAAAGGAAAGTATCTGAAAAGGAGAAAAAGAAGAAGGAAAGAAATATATTTATTTGGTGATAAGAAACTTGCCTTGATTAGAATTTTCTTTTCACATATAAAAAGATCATTTCCAAATTTGAGCCTCCCTACTTCAATTTTTCATCTATATACCCAAATTACCATATAGGAGACTTGTGGAGGATGTAATCTCTATTCTTAGAGGTTAAGATAAGTATTCTCCGTAGAAATAAGGACCTCGATTTTTATCTCTGAAACTCTATATACAAGAACCTTCACTCTCTTGTATTCGTCTATCTTACGTGCTAAATTATTCTCTATGCTATAGAATTGCTCTTGAAAGTGGGTTTACAAGTTAAGTTGATTGTTGCATCCATTGTGTATGACCTTGAACAATTGTACTTGAGCTGGAACTTGAACTTCAAAGGTTGAGAAGAAAAATGTTTGAGTGTTTACTTATATAATTTTGGGAAAAATCCGTAAAACCCATAAAACCCATAAATTGAGAGAGAAAAAAATATTGGTGAGTGACATCTTAAGGGGGAAGGGGGGGGGGGGAATATTTGGTTAGGGGGAGTGAGGTAGGTTTTTATTCTAACAAAGTTGTGCAAAAGATTGTTGCTTGTTCTTCACGATGGTTCAAACGACCAATAAAGGGAAAAAAAATTCCGAACAAGAGGTTCAAAAGGAGACATGCACAACAAGTCTTGTGTCAAATCTTAGAGCGACAGATTCTCCAAGTAGACAACATGACGGCTGACATGGAAGAGTTGCAAACAGAAAATCGGACACCTGAAAAAAGAAACCGCAATCATAAGGAAGGACGTGATGATAACACCGCTTATCAAGATAGAAATCAAAGAGGCAGTAATCCAAATAATCCTTAAGATTTTGTAAACACGAAGATCAAGATATCAGAATTTCATGGAACTAATGATCCCGAGGCATATCTTGGATGAGAGAAAAGGATCGAGCGAGCATTCTCATTGCAAAATTATGATGATTCAAAGAAGATCCGTGCTACTGCATCTGAGGTTTGCAACTATGCCTTCGAATGGTAGGATAAGTTTGTAAGAGATAGAAAGTTGTATGACAAAAATCCCGTGACTACATGGGATGAGATAAAAAGACCCATGCGGAAAAGGTTTGTATCTTCGTATTATTATCGTCAATTGTGTAACAAATTCAAGTGCTTATGCAAGAAAGCAAGTTTGTTGATGAGTATTATCAAGCGTTGGAGACCGCATTGACTCATGCAAACATTAGAGAAGATCCCAAAGCTACTATGGCTAGGTTTCTTGGAATTCTCAACTGAAATATTGCTAATGTAGTTGAATTGTCACACTACCTTGACACCACTGAGATGTTACACAAGGATAGAGTAGTGGAGAGACAATTGTCAAAGAAGAGTACCTCAAAATATTCTACTGCAAAAGAAGGAAGACGTGAAGAAGTTGTCTACACCTTCAAAGGCTGAAAAGGGGGGGTATTCCTATTACTTCTAAAACATCTTCTAGTACTAACCTTATTTCTAAATCTTCTAAAATTGGTGCAAGTAAAGCTTCAAGTAGTATGAGTAAATCTTAACTATATGTTTGGAAAAGATCTGTCAACTTCTATCCCCCAAATACCCTCTTGCAGCCAGTAACTCTCAAAAACAACAAGCATATTCAAATCCAGTTGAAAATGTCTATTATGTTTGCTATCCGATCTCCTGACCCTACAATGAAAAACTTAACATCAGTATTAATTTGTTTAGCAAGTGTGTTCTTGTTTCATTTACTTTTCGTCCACCATATAATCTCTAAGTTCCCTCCACTATCACCAATCAAAGAAAACATGGTAAAAAGGGCATGTGAAGATTCCACTGAATGAAATGGACTCCACGAAGAAACAACAACAAAAAGATGTGTATTTTCTCAAACAGCAAGTTCATTTTTTGATACCAGAAGTGAAGTTAATTTTTCTTCTCAAGAGATAAAAGGGACATATGTTCTTCAATAGAGCAGTCTACATGACAAGAAGTTCGAAAAAGAAAAAGGAATGAGAATCAGACCAAGACCCTTTCTTCTGCGACATGAGCAGTCTACATGAGCATTCTACATGCGCACTCTTTCTTCCGCTGATCAACTTGCCGATATTATGAATAAACCCTTGACGGAGCATTCATTTTAGCATTTCTTAGACAAACTTCGTCTGCTACCTCTGCTGTCTTCAATTTGAGGGGTTTTAGACCCTTCTAGAATAGAATTCTCTTGTAGTATATATATGTCATACTACAAGAGACAGCTAAAGTATCCACAAAACAAAGATGTGATATTTGAAGCGAACTTGTTGATGTACCATAATATGCTATTTGTTAGTTCTCCGTCAAAGACTTCAGCCGCTCATTGCCTCGGAGACTAATATAAACAAGTATGGGGAAAGCATATCACCTTGCTACATACCTCGATTGCTTAAAATAAACCAAATGGATTTTGACTCTGTAAGATTGAAAACCAGCTATTTTGAAGGTTTGACAGAACCAATAAAATGAATTGCATTGGAAATCCAAACTTCTTGAGGGCTTTTTTTGGAAAGTTTCAGGAAACTTTATCAAAAGCATTTATCGTATCAACTGTCAAGAATATTATTCCCCACTGTCTTATAATCAATAGATTGGCAAATATTCGGAGCAAGATATTATCCGTTATGTCCAGCCCAGTTAGAAAAGTCGATTGTTTCTCAGATATAAGTTTGTTAAAAAAACTAACTTTAATTCTTCAGTTAGAATTTTTGTGAAGATCTTATCCACGAAGCTTTCTTGGGGATCAACGGTACCAATCTACTCCCAGTTCCTCTTGGGATAGGAACGTCGAGCATGAACTCGTCGCAAGCCTTTGTCAAGTCATCAGCAATTCTCTTCCAGCGACTCTCACAAAATATTCCCCCAAATCCGTCAAATCCTAGTGCCCTTTCGGGATCTAAGGCATCCACAACATATTCGATCTCGTCCATAGTAACGGGTTTCAGCAAAACAACATGATCTTCATCATTAAGAATAGAGGGAATGTGTTGTAGGAATTCTTAAAAATACAAATAACTTGTTCGTCAATATCAGCTCTGTTGTGAAGCCACTGACCCTCATCAAATTCTATTTTATGTATTCCGAGTCTTGCTCTGTTTTTCGAAAGCGAGACATGAAAAAAGGTTGTATTTGCATCTTCTTCTTTTTAGCCACTTCAATTTAATCTTTTGCTTCAAAAAATCTTCATACTCTTTCAATTTTGCTAAAAAGATGTGCTTTACCAATACTTAGGCTCACACAATCAGCATCTGATTTGGTTTCTTCAGCTTTCTTTAAATTCTCAAGAACATTATCAAAACTTACCTTATTCTAGTCATTAAGTCTGATCTTTAATCTTGTAAGTTTCAATGAGAAACCAAGTATTCCAAAAGAATCCAGAGACTAGTTCCTACTTTCACGAACTACATTCAAAAAAATAGGCGGCCTTAATCACATCTTCTGGAAACGGAAATATCTAGGCTGATTGGCTGAGCAAGAATAAAAAATATGCAGCATTGAACATTGGACAATGATCTGAGGTGGTTCGATTCAAGTTCTTAACTAAAAGTGAAATACTGGATAATAATTTCAGGACGGAGGGAGTAATAATATTTGCATTATGAACAAAAATATTCAATGTAAACAGATGTCGTGCAACATATGGGACCAAAATCTAGTTATTCTTATTTTCGCTGTTATTTCTAAAAATATTCATATCCTTATTTTCAGAGAAATAAAAACTTTACGTAATCTTCATCATCATCCAAATCCCATTGTCATCTCTCTTCAAGTCCCAAGTCACCACCATCTCCTCTGTTTTGTGTAGTGTTATAATGCTGGAGTCTAGAGACAACGTTTTTAGCTAGATTAGGACCTGGATTGAGGGCAGAGCCCTATTAGTTATGTAGGCAAACGAAATGAGCAATTCAATGTGGTCATCCTTTTTGAACAGAATGCATCAACAGGGATGATATTTGTTGATTGATTCAGGAGATTTAATGCTGGTCCTTGAGAGTGTGAAATGCCCAGTATAAAATTTTGCAAGAAACCAAGACTTAATAACAGTTAGAAAGTATGAAGGGTTGTCTCCTATGAGAAGTTGTTGATCAAATGGCTTGAGGCCAAACGTTTGGCTAATCTTAGGATTTTGAGGTTTGAAATCTTTATATGCACAATTGAAGAGGTTTTCCTTCATGATGGCTTGCCCTTTTGCTGGAAAATATTCTGCTTGTCGGGTTAAGAGATATGGAAAGATTTAGGGTCTGACCTTTGGTTTTTCAAAGGCAAAAAAGAGTTAATTTAGGTCGACTTCCATTCCATCAATAGCATGTCTCTATTTAGTTTGTTTGAAGTGTTTTTGATGTTGTCGGTATTAAAGGTACTCATCATAGCTACATATATACTGACAATGGCATGACATAACAGTGGAGCGATTGATTGAAAATCATTTTGTTATCCGTTGGGACTAGATTTTTGTCAAGGTTAGCAGTAAACAGTTGCAAATGGAGCAAAAATTTAGTCTGGAAATTCAGTGAGATAGCACAAATCAATACAAAAGGATTCCAAAGGACAATCTTAATTCACAAAGAAATTACGCAGTTATTATTGTTGTACAAGTACTGCAACATCATTACAGGGAAAAAATTGGAAAAAAAAAAAGGAAAGAAAAAAGACTGAAATCATATAGTTCACAGGCACACTTAGCACACTGTTGATCATAACATCAAGCTCAGCAGACCACTTGGATCACACCATATGGGAAATTGCACAATGCTTACATGCGAATAATGCATCGAAGGCCCTCCCCTTTTAGCATGTATTCAAATGCCTTGTTGATCTCTGAAAAGGGGACTTCGTGGGTTATAAACTTCTCCAGCTCAACAATTTTTCAGCGAAATAGATTTGTCAATAATTACAAGTTTGTGCATGGATGGATGTGAAAGTTTGCACTCCCAGAGAGCATGAAATACTAGCTGTTTACTGCTGCAAGTTTTTAGTCATCTCCAAAGAACAATGGAAAGGAAGATACAAATATTATAGCTTGCTGTTGGTTGAAAATCAAATAACCACATTCCTCAAATCATGTGCTAACCTTTTTCATGTATTTTTCGACAACAGAAGGCAGGTCAGATCGTGGTTTATAATTTCCGAAAAAGGTACCCTTGAGTGTCTTCTCATTGAGGACATTAATTGGATGAGTTTTGAATGCATCATCTTTGTTTGGTACTCCTACCAGCACGGCAACTCCCCATCCCTGCAATGAAATAGCCAGAAACTATGATTGTTAGTTATCTTTCGCTTTTTGTAATGTGAAATCAGGGAGATAGGTTAGAGAGGAACTAAAGAATTTACATCATGAACACATTCGAATGCAGAAATCATCGCGTTGATACTTCCAGTGCACTCCACACTTCGATCAACCCCACCATTTGTCATTTCAGCGATGACCTGAAGGAAGAATTAATATTATGAGATGGTTAGTTAACATTCTTTTTTCAGAGACATTGAAGCCAAAATAACACTTACCTCTTGAACTGGCTTGTTGTAGTCCTTGGGGTTCACAAACTCAGTTACTCCAAAGTTCTTTGCTGCCAGCAGGAAAAACAAATGGTATATCAGAGATCAAATGCTACGTCTACTATTCGTGAAAAAATCCTGAATAACTCATGAAGATCATCTTATTCACCTTCCTCAAATCTGTTTGAGTTTAAATCTACCCCTATGATCCTTGAAGCACCAGCAATTCGAGCCCCTTCAGCAGCCTAATATGAGAAACAAGGGACAATCAAATGAATGCTAGCCTGATATTTTAATGATTACAGTGAAGCATTAATTTAGACTGAAATAATGGGAGAAGTATCATACAGCCAAGCCAACAGCTCCTAGCCCGAAAATCGCAACACTTGAACCCTTAGGTGGCTTAGCAACATTTAATGTTGCACCAAGACCTATTAAAAAAAAAAACATTGATTACAATTTAGGAACTAACAAATCAATGACTCCAAACCATACTATTAAGTCTAAAATTGAAGGGTGAAAAATTCACCTGTTGAGATACCACAGCTGAGGACACAGACTTTATCAAGTGGAGCTTCAGGATCTATCTTTGCAACACATCCCACATGTACCACTGTGTATTCACTGAATGTCGAAGTTCCAACAAAATGATAAATCGGCTTTCCATTGATTGAGAATCGTGACTTTCCATCGTTGAGCATCACTCCTCTGTCAGTGTTGATCCTAAGGAGGTCACACATGTTGCTCTCCTCGGATTTACAATGACGGCATTCCTTGCACTCTCCTGTGAAAACAGGAAGCACATGATCACCAGGTTTCAGGTCTGTCACACCTTCCCCTACACTCTCCACAATCCTGCAGAAACAGAAAAAGAATTTGTTTAACATGAGCATACAATACACTTGGAACTTTCCAGCTTCCACATTTACAATTTGTTTGATCAAACACATTCAGGGTAAAAAAAAAGAAGAAGATTAAATGTACACCATACCCTGCAGCCTCATGACCAAATATTCTGGGAAAAATGGGGGTCTGGCCCTGAAAAATGACAGGAACATTCTTGTCAAAAACTACTAAACTTTTAAGGGAACAAAAATGTGAGTATTGCATAGTTAGAATGGACTACAAATGCAAACCTTAGCTTCCCAAAAGTAGACATCAGTATGGCAGAGTGAGGTAAACAATATCTTTAGGCGAACCTCCATCGCCTGTGGCGGTGCTACTTCCACTTCTTCAATTACTAGTGGCTTCCCTGGTTCCCAAGCCACCGCAGCTGAAATGTTCATTGATCAGAATATTAATTCTTCCGAAAATCGAAACTAATCAAATTTTTCTTCAGACTTTAGGAAGACTACAATGTAACACTCAGAAAGAGAATCACCTTTGCAGCGTATCACTTGACCTTGAGTGCTTGACATCTTGAATCCTCTCTAAGAACTCTTCTCTTGTAAAATAGTTAATTTGCAGATTTTTCTTGTTGTTGTGATGAAGGGTTTGTTTGTGCAGTATATTTATACTACAAATAAAGACCCCTGAAGAGCTAGCCTTCTTCATTATCTTAGCTGATTTGATACACAAGGAAAACCAGAGAAGGTTATCCTGTTTTGGAGCTTTGCATCAAAAAGGCTGCAAACAAGGTGTCTTGGTTTATATTTTCTGGTTTTCCAAGGTTTTTTTCTTTTCTTTTTTTTTTTTTTTTTTGTTTTTGAATACAGGTTTTCTAAGGTAGGTGTACATGTGTCTTTGCTCACTGATGACAAAAAGAAGATGAAAACCAGTTGACTTCTGGTTATGTGACAATCATATTTAATGTAACACTTGGGACAATACCATCAAATACACTTAGAGCACACATAGTTGACCAGTTTGGTAGTATATACAAATGTAGTAAAATATTTTATAGCTAGAACCCTAGTGATTCTAGCTGGAGATCCGAACCTTTAACAAATCAGTTGACCAACTAGGTATAAGGATGCTGGAACTCAACATTTTATGCTATAAAAAGCATCAACTTGCTCAGATCAATGGGTTTAAGGAAATGGCAAAACTAGTTTCCTTTCCTAAGGCTGTTTTTTTACGCAATGTATATACTCCCTTCAAAAACTCCTTTCATTGTGAGAAACTGAGAATTGAATCTGGGTCTACCTGGGGATGGCCTTATTATCTTAGTATTCCATTTGATTCTATTTATAAAACTACAAACTGAAATTATTTGGCAATAAAAGAGGATTAAGCATGTGTATTCAGCTTAAATTTGTGGGATTTTTATAATCTTCTTCAAGTAAAAGATTGACAAAGTGGGAGCAAAGATTAGAGAGCTTCATTATGTGCCCCTTTTTTGAATTCATTGGAATTCCAATGACAAATGTTGTGGGACATAAGGATTTCTTCCTGGAGAATATCTGGAGGAAATGAGAGTCAGAATTGATTTTGCAAAGTATCAACTTGAGATTGTGTCCAAGAAAAGCTTCTATTTCCTTAAAAATCTTTCCTCGAAAATAAAATGGAGCTCAAAGTATCTTTGCAGACGATCCCTCAATTTGGTTTTACAAGTAGAACATGTCATCAGAGTTCAGCCAGGGCTCTTATGGGCTATTAACTACATCTCCGCCACACGTTGCTCTCATTGTATCGTGCCATCGCCGTGGCTTACTACTTGAAGGGCAGTTCTACAAATTGTTCAACATCACGGCGAAATTTCCTTCTCTATAAACCAGTTTCAGAATAGCAACTTTCCAGTCAGGTATGGCGCCATGTGAGCATTTGACGGACATTGAGGTTCCTGATTCATCTTGAGGATATCAAAATTTGATGTTCATTTGAAAGCTTCAAGTGGCTGACCAGCTCGAGCGCGATCATATATGTCCTCTGCTTTCCTCGTCACCTTACCTCGTCTCAGCTTCTTAGCCCTTTTCTTTCCAGAAGGATGGCTTGACAACAAACTGCCTTTGGATTTTTCAGATTTCTCAGGGAACTTTGGAGCTTGACGAGGGTCATAACCAGCTCCGGCCAGTAGCATAATTCCTATCTGGTCAGCCTCTATTTCCGACCTGAAACATCAAAAATATAAGTGAACTGGGTAATTAAACTTACAGTAGCTCAAATTCTGTATGTTTCAATCAAACACCTCGATGACTTATCAGATTCTTCCCCTTCCGCATTGGTTTCTGTACTTTATCAGTTGCCAAAATAGAAATTGAGAGACATCAATAACAAATGTGATTGTACCTTCGGGTAATAAAGAGGTCGATGATCTTTGCAACCATGACAACTCCGATAAAAACTGCTGTTTTTAGGCCAAAGCCATTAACTTTAGGTACTAGTACACATGTAAAAAATACGAACAAAAGTAACCTCAAAAGATTTTCAGATGGATGCCGAGCTAAACCATGCCCAACCTAATTTTGCACAATGATCAGAGCATGATAAAAAAGAAAAGATCAGCGAATGAAGGAAATCAAGCATACTAGTTATATGTATTGCTTTGCAGGGATAAGAGGATGGGGAAAAAATAAGCGTAATTGTATACCTCATGAGCAAGGACAGTTGCCAATTCTGCATCTGTAAGGATTTCAAGCCACTTTGTGTAAAGCATAATCCTTCCATATGGAAGATGAGCAGCATTTGGTACAGGATCATCAATCAGCATCAATTCCCAGTTTAATCCCTCCAAATGTTCTGTACCATACCTGATCCCGAATTTCCTAACTTCCAGTGGCCTGTTTTGAACCCTTTTGTTTGGATGGGATGAATAATAGTTTCTCACTTTCTTTCGAAACTCGAAGAAATCACCAATAACATCATCATCATCTGTTAGTTTTGGCATCTGCAACTCTTTTCTTGGCACATACACTGACACCCGAAAATCATTCTTGAGCCCTAATGACCGATGGGTTGCCTGTAAAATCCCTCTCAGAATTCGGGTAACTCGAATGGCTACTGGACTCTCTGCATTCAAAATCTTGTCCTGATTTTCTCTAGCCTGATACTCCCAAATTAAGGAGCTGATCATATAGTCGAATTTCTCATTCGATATAGCTAAGTGCATCCTGTTTGATACCGGTATACATTGCAAACTTGTGAAAGCAAAACGCAAACAAGATACCAAAGCCTATAAATTTATGATTTCTAAGCCAACCCAATACAGGAGGAGAAGAATTTTTCAAAACTTGTCCTGAATTAACATAGATTTGACGCTGCCCAGATGAAGAACTTCTGTAATTCTCCTCAAATTGTGAACAAGTGAAAAAGCTTTGTTGGAAATCTTAACATTCCGTAACCCGTGGTGTATTGCAACAGAAGCAAACACATGAAAGTTTAGTCTCGGTCCGAATCTGACATGATTTAAGGTATTTACTAACCTTAATCTCCATAGATTCACAGCACTATGAAACGCAGCTCTAATGCCCTCTCTGTTCTGGTTATAAGAAATGTTGGTGAGATCAAAAAATGGTGGCGCCTTCTTATTGTTAAACAGGAAAAACTTTGACCTGAAATCCTCCATTCCATTGACGGACTAATTATAAATTTGTGGGCTTCGATGAAGAAGAAGAGGCCTAAGAATTAAACCATCTTCTTGCACAAGAAAATTTTCTTCGGAGTGAATAAGAAAACTACCTTTTATCCCAAGACCCCAGTAGTAATTTTTTATTCGAAATTTACCTTTAACTGTTAAAATACAATAAAATAAATTACGTAAAATTTTTTTTAAACCCTCAAATTTTCTGACCTTGGGGCTACTTATTTCTGTTTGTTTTCTTTTTCTCATGGTTTTTTCAGAATAATATAATAATACTTGTTTCATTCCGGCATAATTTTTTATATTTTTAATACACATTTTTACATTCTCAATACAAAAAAAAACCTAAAAACACACACTAAAAAAACAAAACAAACATATCTAGTACTCCCTCCGTCCCATAATTATTGTCAAGTTTGAGTTTTATTTTTAGTTCAAATTGTACTAAAATTAAAATTTCAAAGTGGACAATAATTTTGAGACAGAGGGAGTACCAAGTAACAATACAGGAAAAAAAAAAGAATTACTCCCTCCGTCCCAAAATTATTGTCCAGTTTGTCAAAAAAATTTTGTCCCAAAATTATTGTCCAATTGACTTTTTATGAGCAAAATTACACATATACCCTTTAGTTCAAGACAAAAACACTTATTGACGCCTCTTTCTATTTTCTCCCCGCACACCTTAGAAACAAACAGAAACAAACAGAAACAAACATAATCTATATATTCTCCACGGCTTCAAGTAGCGGCGCTGTCGATGAGGTGCAAACATAATCTATTCTACAATGGCTCCAAGCGACGGCGCCGATGAGATGACCGACTGTTGTCAAGTGCAATCTGAAGGAAAAATTCTGAAAAAATCAGCGTCGAAATTGCAGATTCAAGCGACGAAATAGAAGAAATCATATGGATCGGAAAAGCATTAGATTGAAACTCGGAGTAAGAAGTTTCTCCAAATTTGAATCAATTCATCCGAAATTTTGGTTCGATTGGCTCAAAACGGTGACTCACAGATGAAGAGCTATCGATCCGAACCTTTTCGTTTTCTTCACAGATATCAAATTGAAGCTTTGAGTAAGAAACTTCCAAATATGAAGTTCTTTGTCTGAATTGGTTTGATTACGGTCGGGTTCCTGAGTGAAGAACAACTGAAAAGAGGTGAAGAAGTTCTGAAATTGATTTTTGAAATTGATTTTTAAATCTGAGTGTTGAAATCAAAAAGAGGTGAAGGAGTTCTTTCCCAAAATCTATGGCCGGTTAAACAAATTATGTCTATAAGGGTATATTTGGAAGCTTATGGTAAAATTTAGTTGTGTTTGACCAAAAATAAAATCCTGCATCTTAATAAAACTGGACAAAAATTTTGGAACGGAGGGAGTAAAACTTTAAGAAATATGTTAACACATAAAAAAGACGTAATAATGTTCAGTCCTAATCACGTTATTACTACCTTGTGCTTAATACGCAATCAAGCTGCAAATTTGTCAACTTAATCCCTCACCTTCTGAATAATAACCACCAAAACCCCCCTTAAATGATTTTTCATCCCGCCAAAATTATCCCGAAATGTTTCCCACTCTCTTCAAGCCCTAGAAGTCAAATTCCATTTTGAGAGCTTCAAATCCTCCGTTGTTTTCAGCACCAGAAAAATTCTACCGGCGATGCCGCCGTCAAAGGTTCCCCCCGGGAAAGATCATCCGTCTGGAGCTAGAGAATTTCAAGGCTTCCAGACTATAGGGCCGTTCTATGAATTCACTGCCATAATTGGACCTAATGGTGCCGGCAAGTCCAACCTCATGGACGCCATCAGCTTCGTTCTCGGCGTTCGTAGCGCTCCCTTCTTTACGCTTTTGATGGCCGCGACAAAGAACAGAGTGGCCGTAAAGCTTTTGTTAGGTTGGTTTACAGGTTGGATGCCGGGCGAGGAGTTTGAGTTTACTCGGACCATACCTAGCGCTGGGGTTAACGGTGGTATTGTCAATTGGAATGAATACGATAAGAAGTTGAGGGAATTCGGCATTCTGGTTAAAGCGCGAAATTTTCTGGTTTTCCAGGTATGTCAACTACTTTGCTTGCCTCTTATGATTATGGGTTTATTATTGAATCTTAATTAAGTAGCAACAGCATTCCAGATTTTAAGCGAAGTGAAAATGGTTTACCAGATTCGTTTTTGGTGCGTTTTCTGTTTATTCATTTCTTACGGTGAGTGGATAATACAGTACAGGCAGATGTTGAGTCTGTAGCATCAAAAAAAAATCCAAGAGAGTTTACCGCGCAAATCTCGGTTCTGAAGAATTTAAGAGAAAGTATGAGGAGTTGGAAGTAGAAAAAGGCAAAGCTGAAGAAAACTCAGCCCTTGCTTACCAGAAGAAAAAGACAATAAAACTGGAAGTGAATGCAGAAGAAGGAACAGAAAGAAGAAGCAGATAAACATTTTCGCTTGTAAGAGCAATTGGTATTATTCAGAAAGCTCTTCCAAATATTCATATGTTGATTTTCTGTTGCTTATGCTCTTGGGTGCTGCTTTTGCTTTATCAACTGATTTGTCTTGCCCTTTCTGCATATTCTCTTGTTTATTTTATAGGAGTACTATTTTATGATGTTTGGGCATCTCTAGTGGCAGAAAACATTCCCAAGTGTGTATCATTTTATAAATATTTTAATATGTGCCGTTAGAGCAAAAGATTTTATATATAAGGACATTAACCTCATTTTTAGATTCCTTATTTAGCTTCACAATGTTGGAATAAGTGTTACTGGTACTGCTTTACAGAAAGACTGCATAACTTGTTTCCACCATTTCCCTTTCCAAACCGGATTTGCCTTGTTTGATGAGAGTGGTAGATCTCTCACCACATTAATGAGTGTATTAGAAATCCTTCTTCATGTGGAATAAGGTAAAATTAATTCCTTTCATAGGCAGAAATCCTTGAAGCAAGAGCATTTTCTCTGGCAATTGCTGAACATAGAGAGAGATACTGAGAATTCTAATGAAGATCTTGAGGCTATGGAGGAAAGCCGCAAACAAATTCTTGATGAACTGAGCATGTACGAGAAAGAATTGAGCAAAAAGAAAAAAGAACAGAATGGTTATTTGAAAGAGGTTGGACACTTTGAGAGGAAGATTGCAGAGAAAAAGACAATACTTGATAAGAGTGTAAATTTCTTAATATTTTGATTCTGCTAGATGTGATTAGCTTTCCTCTTTGGTTGGGGGGATTTCTTATGTCATATATTTGTACTAATAAAACAATAATAGTGCATGTCGTTCAAACACCTAGGTACAGTTTTACACAGCTAGATAAACTGGCAGATTGCAAAGATAATTATTGAAAATGATGGTTTTTTGAGACGCTAAAAATCTGCTACAATTTTATTTTATTTTATTTTCTTCCATATTGTTCAGAGCGTGCATAGGTTAGGAAGTTTCTTTATTGGTTTACATGCTAGCTGTGATTGCTGCTTGGGGATTTGCTTGGGGTTCTACCAATCATTTTAAAAAAATTTACTCTACGTCTTTGTGTTTTTGTTTGGAGTTTGTTGTTTTCTTTTATCGTGATGTTATCCGGGACTCTGAACTGTCAGGAGTTGTCAGAAGGAGTTCATTTTCTATTGTTGATTTTGAGGCTGTTTGATTCAATGGTAGAGTTAAGACCTAAGAGTTTATCCACTATCATCATTTCTCCGTGCTCAGCAACCAGAGATGCTTAAGTTGATGGAGGAGGTAACACGCTTAACTCAAAAGATTAAGAGTACCACTAAGGACCTTAAGAAAAAGAAAGAAGAGAAAAACAGGCACTTAGAAGAAGTGGAAAAACTTCAGAATGACTTGCAAGATCTCATTAAGCAATTGGATGACCTCTGTGAAAAGGGACCGGGTGCGAGTGAAAACCTGCAGTTGGCTGATAGCCAGTTGGAAACATATCACCAAATGTGAGTGATGAACTCTTTTTATTGGAAGCTCTGTAGGGGTTTTTTTCTCAAGTGATGCAGGAAGATTTCAGAAATATGGGTAGCTTCATATTAGGTTTAAGGAAAATAGCTAGAATCTTTTTAGAATTAAGTTTCCTTTTAATTTAATTTTCTGTTTGCTAGATTACCTTAATTATGAATTAGTTTTAGGCAATTTTAGTAGCTTTAGGAATAAGTCAGGCTTCTCTATAAATAGGGTGGTTCTGCAGTAGTTGGATGGACAATTTTTATATTCATATAATTTTAAAGCTTTTGAAGATTCCAAAGACTATGTTTTTCGGAAATCCCTACAGCTCGGATTTGCCTATTTCGTCTATTTTCAATTCAGCCCCTGTTCCCCATCTATTTAGTATCACAAGCCCCAGGTTTCTATGGCACGCAAAGGTTGTGTTGCTGTCCCTAGGAGAGTTCAGAATCAGGAATATGTGGTTGGGATTGAAGAGTTGCGACGAGAACTTGCGCAACTCAGGTTGCTGGTGCAGAACCAACAACGTGACAACCGTGCGGCAGCACGAGGATTGATACCCAAAGGTATCGAAGATCCTGATCCACCGGAAGGTGTTGATGAGGTGCTTAAATATAAGGTAGAAGAGGTCAGTCCGTTCTATGGTCCCGGAGATCAACACGGTCAACTTGAAGAACGATTAGATTGCAGTGATTATTCTTCAGACTTACCGGAAGATAATATGAAGGATGGGATTTTCTCATGTGGATTAGATTATGATCCATAGGAGAAGCATGATCTTGATTGGAACAATCCACCAATCTATGATGAGTACCCGTAAGACCGGGATGAGTGTTCGGATGTCTCTGAGGAGGATGTCATTGAGTTTGGTGAGCCTTGTCTTTTCAGTGATAGAAAACAAGGAGGGTAAGGTGTGTTCCCGGTAGATTGGTGTTGACAGATTTGATTTGGGGTGCCAGAATTTTGTTGAGAGTGCAACAGCTTTTGGTTATGTCCAGGAAAGATTGAGTTGCACTCAACAAGTTCAGGTCTTAGAGCTTGAAGAGTTTAGCACATTGTTTGTGGACGTCTCTAAGAGCCTGCTTGTCAATAATATGATACTTTTAATGAAGAACCATAATTTCCACAACAGAAAGAGGTTGTTTTGGACTACAATGATAAAGTCTTTAACCCTTGAGAAGAATTAAGGAAAGAGGTTACTGGAAGAGTCTGTAGGATGTCCTTTTGATCGAGGAAAGCTGAGGAAAATTGTTTGGGAAACACAGATATCAGATGAAAATCAAGTTCTACACAATATCAATTTTCATCAAATAACTTTATCCAGTAAAGTGTTTGTCTGTGATTGCTATCAAACCAATGAAGCTGTTTTTACACTAAAACCTGCATCTCTATTCAAGGTGACGATACTTTATTGGTTCAAGAGATTTCCAAGACATCAAGTTCTTTATGTTTGGAGGAGGAGAAAAAAGAAGGCATTGCAGTACTTTACTGGAATTCCTTTTGATAGAGGAAAACCCAAAGCAAAACTCGAGCAAGAGTTTTCTTTCAAGCAGGGGAGAGTTGATGCAGGAAGATTTCAGAAATATGGTTAGCTTCATATTAGGTTTAAGAAAAATAGCTAGAATCTTCTTAGAATTAAGTTTCCTTTTAGTTTAATTTCCTGTTTGCTATATTGCCTTAATTATGAATTAGTTTTAGGCAATTTTAGTAGCTTTAGAAATAAGTCAGACTTCTCTATAAATAGGGTGGTTCTGCAGTAGTTGGATGGATGTTTTTGATATTAATATATGTTAAGCTTTTGAAACTTTCAAAGACTATGTCTTTCTGAAATCCCTACAGCTAGGGTTTGCCTATTCCGTCTATTTTCAATTCAGCCCACGTTCCCCATCATCAAGTCAATGTTTTTTTTTTTTTTTTTGTCCTTTTTGTGGGAAAACAGTATTTCCTTTAATGATTAGTTTTCTTACTGGAAAGAGGTCTATCTGATTTGAGTTCTGGATTGGATTTTCTGGGTATAAGGGAGTGGTTGTGTTAATATTTTGGTATCGTTACTCCTCCGACCTCTTCTCTCTCCCTTCCCTAAGCTTTAGTGTAAAACTTTAGCAGGCCTTCATATATTCTGTTGCAGTTTTTAATGAAGTAGTCTCATTAGTAAAGTTTTTTCAGCGTGCTACATTTTCTTAGACTTGTCTGATATTATTCTGCAGTTAAGAGGAGGCTGGTACGAAAACTGCAAAGTCTCAAGATGAAAAGGAAGTCTTAGATAGGCAACAACATGCAAATATTGAAGCTCAGAGAAATTTGGAAGAAAATCTTCAGCAATTGAACAATCGAAAGGAAGAGCTTGAGTCTCAGAAGAAACAAATGGAAACAAGACTAGACAAAAATCCAAGCTGCTATTAAGAAGCGCAAAGCAGATCTTAGGAGAGTGAGAAAGGAACAGCATGAGATGAAAGATAAACTTGACAAGTCTAAGTGAGTTTTCTTCCCTTGGAGAATGCTATTGTTATAAAGTAGCTGATCTTAAACTTAGTCGTTTGGTTTTGGATGTATGGATTTGAAGCTGCTTTTCTGTTATTCAAGTTTGTTCTTAGGGACTTGTGTTGTTTTAGTTTTCATGTTTCACCGAACTTTCCTTTCTCCGTGCAGACTGTATCATGACAGGTTGAAGACAAAACTTGATGAAGTTGAGAAGAAACTGCGTGAGCTGAAGGCTGACAGATATGAAAACGAAAGGGCTGCTAGATTCTCACAAGCAGTTGAAACTTTGAAACGTCTATTCCCTGGTGTGAATGGTCGGATGACTGATCTCTGTAGACCAAAACAAACTAAGTACAACTTGGCAGTCACTGTTGCTATGGGCAGATTTATGGATTCAGGAAAAGAATGCATAAAGGTAGAAGGACTGAGATTATGTTTTTCTCATTCAGCAATCTAGATTCTTTTTATTTGAGTATCCTTTTAAATTTGCTCTTATTCAAGTTAGTTTTGATTATACTAATGATTTGAGAAGTTATCCGTCTTCATTATTTTCTCCCACTGCGCCTTTTTTTCAAAGGTATCATCTATGAATGGCAGACATTGAGGGCTCTAATCTGAATTGGTGGACATTGAAATCAGTTATCTGTATTTTGGAGTTCTTTTAGGTTCTTCCTTGTTTTTCTACTGGTTGTTGCTGCTGACAGGAGCATTATTGTTCAAATCATTTCCTCTTGGAAATACATTTTCTCTATTTTAGTTACTGTGAAGTCATGGGGCAAATATCCATGTTTAGGTTCATGAACAATAGTTGTGGTGAGGAAGATCATGGGGAAAATATCCATGTTTAGGTTCATGAACAATAGTTGTGGTGAGGAAGATCATGCTGAGACCTTGATTTGGCATCCTTAGGATAATAAGCAACTATCTTGGGAGATTGGATAGCTTGCAAGTATTCAACACAATGCATATTTTCGTTTGATCCAATAACAGAAATGAAAAAACACTGATAATGAAGGTCACATTTGTAACAGTACAGAATTAGTCGTAAACACTAAAAAGCTTCTCTTTCTTTTTCTTTTTTTTTTTCATTTCCAAGTTTAGGTTCAGAATCTTCAGATGTGAGAATTTTGTGCGTATCTATAGTACTTAACTAAGCAAAATATAAGTTGTTGATGTGTCAGCACTACAATGAACTTTTTCTCGCTAAAAGCCATTTTCAATACAAAATTATTTTTGTCATGTGACATTCTAACTATTTTTTTAAAAAAAAGAAGGAATAAAAAATAAACCCCTTAATTATGGCTACATACTAATCCCTTTAATTGTAGCTCTACTATAAACTAACCCTTTAATTATAGTTATACTATATACTAATTCCTTTAGAGTTAAAATAACAATATTGAGTAGATAAAATCAAATGTCAAATTATCTCATTAATTATTTATTTAGATGATAACTCAAATGTTAAATAAATAATTTGATTACAAAGGTAAGTATCTCTCCCTCTTAGCAACGATAATGCACATTGATTTAAAACCCCACTAATTAGCCAGAGTCATCGTCATCAATTGAAAAACAATGCAATCGAATCATCCACATATCACCCAAAGCAATTAATATAATCATTAATTGAAAATCAAACTTAACCTATTCACAACCATATTATCATCATAATAAAAAAAAATCAATAATCAAGAATCCAGAGAAGAAGTTACGGTTGCAGGGAGCATCGGAAGAAAAAATTATAGTTATAGGCCCTTATGTTTTTCCGGTGGTATAGAAATGAAGATTGATAAAATGCTAGATTGTTCATATATAGGAAGAGGAAGAAAAAATTAACTAACTTTTGATTCATAAGAATATAAAATTTGTACAAGAAGATGATTACTGTGTTAAAGACTTGAATTTTAACCCATCCAAGAATTTTCTGCTTCTTGATAGTTTGTTAATAATTGATTTGACCACTCCAATTACTTTGTCTTTGATCTCTTTCGAGCTTTGTTATGCACTGATTAATGAATATATCTTATTAATATTAACCGAAAAGTGCAAAATCATTTGAAATTCACCAGAACATAATAAAGTGTTAACCGGTCGGATAATCGCAGCGCTGAGACACTACATTTTTTTGCACAATCAGATAGTTTCCCAAGACACTAAAATTTTAACATTAACTCAGAATTGAATGTTGAAATTTTATTGAGCTATGCCCTTTATTCGTTGATTTTTTTTTTCAAATATAGGATTTGAGCTATGCCCTCTAATTTTTGAGCAAAATCATTTGAGCTATGCCCTCTAATTTTTAAGTTGGGCTCCTACAACGATTCAGATTAAGACACTAAAAAATAATATAGAATTGTGTTAAATGATTCAGGCAACGACTCTTTACTATGTTCCTATTCGATATTGTTATATTACATAAAAGGATATTTATTTTTTTCAAAAAATTTGTTTTCTTTATTTAATTAACTTAAAACATAGTAGGTTGCCCGAACATTCGCTTGGGACAAGCATCTAGTTTGTCTATTTATGGCTCCATTTAAATAATTTCTAGCTTTGATAAATAAAACTAAAACTTGGAGGGAAGCATTGGATTTTAAAATTTTCCTCATGAGCTAGACTTTAGTAAATGGGCTGCTATTTGTTACCCCTTAAATAATAGGTAGCGCCCCTTTTAGACTATTTTCCCTTTATCACAAAATTAAAACACAAACTATTTTGTTCTTTCTATCCAATCCTCCCCAATTCAAACAAAAAGATAAAATAATTCCTTCATTCTGGGGTTGTAACAATAGAAAATCCAAAAAGTCATGGTCGGCTCTACTGGTAAATAAGTAAGTTTTAATTTGTTTAAATTCTTTTTTTCCAAATTTATGAAAAAGAAAAAAAAAAGAAAAAAGTGGATGAATTGAATCCGCTGCCGGCAAATACAGTTGGGGGTGTATATTTGTTAAAAGGGAGCACTATCTAGGAGTTAGGGGGTTACAAATAGCATAAACACGTACTATATTAAGATTATTCATTATTCCATAACGTGGACTACTTTTGGAACATAGGAGAGGAGTACTTAATGAAGAAGGGGTAGGGGATGTTAAATCCTGCAAATGATGTTGTAATTCTTTTTTGTAACTAGAGAAACTTGTACATTAGAACAGTGTAATTTTCCCACGTTAATGACATCTTAAACTGCAAATTTAGCATCTGCACTTGTGTAGCAGATGTTCTGCAGTTTACATCATATCAGCACGGATGAAATTATACTTCCTGAAATTTTGTAAACCAGACAGATTGACTATGTTGAAGAAAGTTGCAGATAGATAAATAAGAATAGAAATTTCGTTTTCCCGGGTTTTTTTCATACCTAAGCAGCTTTTAGCAAACTAGTTGCTTTATAAGGAGCAGTATGTGCCTTGACAACTGGAGTCCAAAATATTCAAGCCACTGGACAGCATTACAGCGTAAATTTTAATGTTAATAAGAAATGATGAGATTGATAGATATATTCTGATAATTGAAAGCTTAGACATGGAAGTAGCTAGAAACTACATGGATTCAGCAAACTTATTCTGTCGTAAAAAAGCATTAACTCACTAAGTTTAGCATTGATGAAGAACCGACTCAAATCAATAGTTTTCTTGGGCGCCCCAATCAAAGGGAACACGGTGAAAAGAGCATATGGGAAGATTAGTGTCCACAGAGCCATATGGACTCAAGACATAAAAGTTACACCAAAGTTTAGACCTTAAGAAAATCGGAGTGCTAACAGAGACAAAAGGATAACAGCTAAGGTAACCAAGGAACATCAATAAAAAGATACTCCGTCCTGAAATGATTGTCCATTTCGGATTTTCATTCTTAGTACAATCATTTCGGGACGGAGGAGTATATATTTTCTCAAACAACATTTTCATTTTTGGATACCGGAAGAGAAGTTACTTTTGCTTCTCAAGAGATAAAAGGGACATCTGTTCTTCAATGGAGCAGTCTACATGACACGAAGTTCGACAAGAAAAAGGAATGAGAATCAGACCAAGACCCCGTTGTTCCATTGGGGATGGAGAAGAGTGTCTGGTGCTCCGATACTCAACTGCATCTTGAAGGATAATATTCCCTTGTTTATCCATACAGTAGAACGTGCCCAAGAAGAACCGTCCATCTTTGATCCCCACCAAGAGTCGGCGAGACACGAGTTTCTTGACTCTGCTCACAGGACCCGAGTTTGGTGCCTCCTTCCTATCGGTGCTTTTGATCTGACCTACAGATATCTCAGCTTTTTGCTCAATGTCCATTCACTTTAAACAGTAGAATTCCGAGCACTTTAATTCAATCTGTTCATAAGAGAAATACATAATGAATGGTTAAAAAATCATTCATTGGTAACCTTTCCACGTTCAGTGACTAAAGAGGATGATTTTCTGAACCTCATAGTTCAGACAGGTAGACATACAAAAAACTGGGGGAAGAAACAATGCCAGCTTTACACATATAAAAAGTCAATAGACTGATTGAACTTCATGTTTGAACTCAGTATTGAGAACAACCAACTCTGATCCGGTAGCACTCATCCAAAATGCAAGCACAAATACGCAAACTAGCACTTTCTTCCACATAACTATGGACAGTTTGCAACATAAATCAATTGAAGACCTGCCAAAATTACTTGTTCATCCAATGGTGCTAGCTTATAGGTATCCAGAATATTCAAACAAATGAAAGAATAACAGCTGATGTTTTTTCTAACCTACCAAATTAGGCAACAAGCTCTCTGCGGGGAAGGAAAAAAACACTAGTTTTGCTGGTAAATAAAAGAGCAGCATCCAAACAATTCAGTACAAAAGCTTTCAGTACCTTCTTCCAATGAACAGTTTCCAGATTCCATGCTCAAAATATGGCAAAACGAAATACAGAAAACTACATGCACATTTACAAGTTATCAGAAAAGAAAGGAAAAATTATTTAAATATCCTAAAGCCTAACTGAAAAAACTATTTTTTTCCTAAAAACACATTTACTCAGCAGTAATAGAATGATATCTTCTACTTCCTAAACTAATGTGGGCTAAAAGGAGAACTTTCGCTGCATTGTCAAAAACCTTCTTCATCTTTTTCTAGGGTTCTTTTCTACAAGAATTAGAAGTTGAATCATGTGACAAAGGGCGTGAGAGGTTACAAGAAAAATTTTGTCCTCCACTACAGTAAGCCATCATAGTAAATTTTGTGGCTTCAAAGGATTAGAAGGGAAAAAGGAAAGATGTTAAATGAAAGAGATTTGGGAGAAAGACAACCACTTTAAACATCAGAACTCAGAAGATATGAAATCAAATCATACTTGTAGAACCTCGTTATGCATAATATGTTCTTGAAATCAGATCAAATATTCAAAGAGCCAAAATTCAACCCACAACTTCTACTTAGTAGGGCAATATCAATGTTATAGCGGCGTCAATTTCGTTATCTTTAGCAATGCTCACTAATCCAAACAGAAGCAAATTAAGCACAATACTCGCTAATTATTTCGCCTACAGGCAGCCATCATTCCATCCGAAACAAAAAATTGAAGATTTCTTCCTTTAGGCCTTCTACAAGTTTTGATTTCATCTTAGTTCATACAAGAAGAAAGTGAAAATACGACAATGGATATCCGGTTGAATCGAGTAAAAAGGTTAAGGAGACAAGTATACCTTGATTGAAAGTTTTATGGTTTTGGGAGGTAATACAGAAACTTTGAGCGACCTTGAGCAGTTTCAGAGCCGGCGATCAAGAAGTTGATCGGCGCCGACAACAACGAAGAAGCGGTGGCTGAACGGCGGAAGACGGTGATACCGGTAGTATTAATCCAACTGGGCGCCCCACTGGAGGAGTAGAAAACTGATGGCCAACTTACATAAAGCCCATAGCCACGAATAACCCCGCCTTTTCCTTTTTTGCTCTCTTGTGCCCGTACTTCTTCTCTTATTTATATTAAGCCCCATAGAAAAGCTATGTTGCATCAATGATCCTTCAAGTTTGCTAGTAGTTGTGTTTTCCACAATAAAAAATCGCCCTATTTTATTTACAGATTTTATGCACGTAGTTTATAGAGAAATAATTACTGAAAGGTTATCATTTGTGTTCATAAAATGTTTTATTTAAGGGTTTAATGAACTAAGTTCACATCTATGCCTTTGAATTATAAGATTTTGTTCACGACGCAAATTATTTTTAACTGTTTATAATTCGCCTAAAATTATATTTAAAAGTGGCAATTCACCTTTAGTGTAAAACAGTTAAATAATATAATAATTTATGAAAATGAATATGACTTAAACATCTCATGAGTTTAAAGTAAGACTCTATGAACGGTAGGCACTATGCTCTTGTGCTTTTAACGAAAGCTCGTATATATTTGAGCCGCCATAATGTATTATTGCTTTTGATTTGAAGTACTCCCCCTTCTAAAAGGAGTAACGTTTGTCTAACTAAAATGATACAATTTGTTAATGTTAACGCCTACTTGCAATTACTCCATACTACGATTACTGGGAAGTGGGAATGATATTCAATTTGTGAAGGTTTCTACTTTCTACTTCAGACTTGGAAAGTTTACGGTTGAGTTTGAAGTAGTTGATCTTGAATGCTAGAAGAGAAAATGAGGCAATTCCTAGTGTGATTGTTTTAGCTTAATTTTGGAATTTGGACAGGAACTATGGTAATTCGTGTAAAGGGGACAATAAAAAATAAAACAAAAAACAAACGACCGAACAGTATTTATTCATAATCACTTCAGCGTCCAAACTCCAAACAGCAACAACCTCGAAATGCAGACCAAGAGCAGTTGGTGTCGGATCAAAATTAACACAAGTGCAAACCACAAATACAACACATGCATGAAATTTGATACCCAGAATTCTTGGTGTATGGTTTTATTGGAGTTTTTGCTCAGGCATGCTAAATCCTAATAGGCTAGAGCCAGGAAAACATCTTTCATCGCAATTATAAGGAGCAATCTCAAACCTATCATGATCCAATATCGGCTCATTTCATGGTGAACGTAGTCTGCCATAATCTCCTTCACACCATGGTTTATGTGCCAAAACAGAGAAAGGTTAAGTAATACACTGGAAGATAATTTCTCACGAACTGCCATCAATGGAAGCAGGGCAACTGTATTCAAATACTTAACCCGCACTGGTAGTTCCGGGGAAAGATCAGTATTACGTGGTTGAGTGGTTCCAGCTTTGGCATGTTCATTCGTAGAGGGGAGGGATGAGAAGGCTCGAAAGTTTCCTTGAGGAGATAAAGACACAAATCTAGATCTAGCAGCCGCTGCTGGAAAAGTTCCCAATGATGGTAATGCAGTATCAGGTTGGGAGCCGCCAATAGTTCCAGACAACTCTTGCGATCTAGGGAGACAAGAACAGGCTCGCCAAACCTCTCCAACCTTACCACAGGATGACAGCAACCTCCTTGAAAGCATACTCATTCTCACTCCTCACTGCAAGTCAGTGAAAAAGAAATAATCAAGAGATGTTGATGGAAAAAATAAAATGAACATAAGTTTATCCCTATCACAACACTATATCAGCTAAGAAACAGGTACTCGACCACAAAGTAAATTAGATGAGACTAAAATTTCAAGTCAACTGATAATCAACAAACCAGTCAACTTCTAAAGGGACATTCAACAATGTATTTTCCACTATAAATACTTTTTATCCACCCGGGAATTAGTCACTGCAATTACGATCGAATTCGAATGAATAACAGGATAGGAAAAAACAATCGTGTATGATAGTTTTATCATGGGACTAAGAACAGCAGACAAATATGTCAGCAGAAGAGTTCAGACAGGTAGACATACAAAAAAATGAGGGAAGAAACCATGCCAGCTTTAAGCATAAAAAAGTCAATAGACTAATTGAAATTCATGTTTGAACTCAGTATTTAGAACAACCAACTCTGATCCAGCAGCAGTCCTCCAAAATGCAAGCACAAATACGCAAACTAGCACTTTCTTCCACATAACAATGGACAGTTCCCAATATAAATCAACTGTAGACTTGCCAACATTACTTGTTCATCCAACGGTGCTAGCCTATAGGTATCCAGAACATTCAAACAAATGAAAGAATTATGTTTTCCTAACCTACCAATTTATAACAAGCTCCCTGCAGGGGAAAAAAAAAAAGAAATAGTTTGGTGGTGAATAAAAGGAGCAGCAGCATCCAAACAACTCAGTAAAAAAGCTTTCAGTACCTTCTTCCAATGACTAGTTCAAGATTCCATGCTCAAAATAAGGCAAAACGAAATACAGAAGACTACATTCAGATTTACAAGGTATCAGACAAGGAAGGAAAAATTATTTAAAAATCCTAAAGCCTAACTGAAAAAACTTACTTTCAGTAGTAGAAAGATATCTTCTACTTCCTAAACTAATGTGGGCTAAAAGGAGAACTTTCGCTGCATTGTCGAAAACCTTCTTCATCTTTTTCTAGGATTCTTTCCTACTAGAATAAGAAGTTGAAACATGTGACAAAGGGCGTGAGAGGTTACAAGAAAAATTTTGTCCTCCACTACAGTAAGCCATCATAGTAAATTTTGTGGCTTCAAAGGATTAGAAGGGAAAAAGGAAAGATGTTAAATGAAAGAGATTTGGAGAAAGACAACCACTTCAAACATCAGAACTCAGAAGATATGAAATCAAATCACATTGTAGACCTTCATTATGCATAATATGTTCTTAAAATCAGATCAAATATTCAAAGAGCCAATGTTCAACCAACAACTTCTACTAAGTAGGGCAATATCAATGTTACAGCGGCGTCGATTTTCGTTATGTTTCGCAATACTCATTAATCCAAACAGAAGCAAATTAAGCACAATAATCGCTAATTATTCAGCCTACAGGCAACCATCAATCCATCCGAAACACCAATGAGGATTTTCTTCCTTTAGGACTTGTACATGTAATCAAGTCTTGATTAATTAATCAAACACTTTAAGCTTAGTTCATACAAGAAGAAAGTGAAAAACTGAAAATACGACAATGGATATCCTGTTCAATCCGAGTAAAAAGGGTAAGGAGACAAGTATACCTTGATTGAAAGTTTCATGATTTTGGGTGGTAATAAAGGAAATTTCGAGAGACCTCGAGCAGTTTCAGAGCTGGAGATCAAGAAGTTGAGCGGCGCCGGCGACAATGAAAAAGCGGTGGCTGAAGGGCGGAAGACGGTGGTGCCGATACTATTAATCCAACTGCGCGCCCCACTGGAGGAGTAGAAAACTATTGGCCAACAAAGTTATACGAGTAGTTTTACTTTTACGTCCCTCAAGTTCTTTAGGCAAACAATTCCATCCATTTAGATTTTTAAAAAAATAATAATAAAAGATTATGTTCTAAAGTTAAGAACTTATATAGGCTGTAATCTTAGTTTTGATTTTGTATTTGTTCAATTAAAATTCCAAAAAAATATATATATACATTTGGGCTGGGGTTTTTACAACCAACAAAAAAAGTGACTTCGATCTAATTTATTGTAGTACAGTAGTATTTTTTTTCCTCCCACCTTTAATCCTATTTTTTATCCTATTCTAGCTATTATTAACCACGGTTCATCATTACTCGCCACCAAGGGATTTTGGCTCATCAGCAGTTCAAAGCTATAAATAGGTAAACAAAATTTTCCCTCATCCACTGGAGTATGTTTATGATTCTAAATATGGTTTATTCGAATGAACGTATTAAAATCTAAATGAAACCCTAAAAAGTAAAAACATTAATATAAAGTTTGAATAGCTAAATCATAATGTATCATTATCATTTTTTCTATAAAAAAATAAAAAATAAATATAAATTGAAAGGTGAGTCCTGCCGACAGGCTGGCCAACATTTTGATTAGATTATGCGAAGAATAAATCAGAAATAAATATAGGTATCAAAATCTAATACGTAAATATTAGCAAATTAATGCAAAAAAAAAAAAAAAAAATTTGTGTCTTTACCTCTGCTTCAGATATGCAGAGGTCAAGTTTACAAAGTGAGTTTTTCATTCATTCATCCCAAAAAAATTTGGACCAAATAAAATGGACTAAACTCTAAAGATTAGAATCCGGGGATCAACTTCTTCTGGAATGAAAGATTGAGGTGGGAATTTTGGAAGGATTCCTGCAATGTATCTAGCAGCTTCCAGATAGTTCGAGTAATCCTGAATCTTCCCATGAGTTTCTCCATCCCAAACATTGTTGCATCTGATATTCAACTCCTTGATCATGTCGGATAAAGATGTTCCCTGGAAATCACAGTGAATGTTTTCCTGTCCTGAAATGGCTTCCCTGAATGCTTTTTTCTTGAAATTCCAAGCACCAGTTTTCCAATTGAAGCTGTACAGAGGTAGGAATCGTTGTCCGTACACAGCTAAGAACTCAACTGCAGACAAAATGAACTCGAATTCTTCCTTGGACATATAGTATGGGAAACTAATCCTCGTCCACCCCGGCTTTACGCCATTGTATCCCTGTTTATAAGACCAAAAATTAAGGACTATTACTGAGGCTGTAATCGATAAGACTGAAGTCTGAAGTCTGAAACGTAAAAAAATTTACCATTTGAATGGCAGATCGCAAAGCGAGAGATTGCGATTTGTCAATTCCGAGTAATGTGTGTCCGTAAGGACCTGCACAAGCACAACCACCTCTGGCCTGAATGCCAAAGAGATCATTTAGCAGCTTGGAAACAAAAGGACCATGAAGTGGCTTGTCCTTTTTGTTACCGGTTTCTCTCCACAGATAAAGATCGGAATTTTCCGGGTTCTCAATCAGTTCCGCCGAGGGAGAATAAGAAGTTGTGTAAATGAGGAATGACAGGATCGCTTGCCGCTTAGAAGTCACATTTCCAAGAACCTTTATGTTTTGGTTGGAACAAAGCCTTTCAAGTGCTTGATTACTGTAGCTTTCCTCCATCTTTTCGATCACATCGTGTCCGATGTATTCTTTTGTCCAAAAGGCTAATGCTGCTCTGATTTTCTGGATGATTGGTGGAGTTCCTGCTTCCTCTCTTTCCTCCACATTCTTCACATACAAAGTGTCCTGAAAGTGAAGAGAAAAAGCTGATGATGATTTTTGCAAAAGCATTTCTGTAAAGGGCGATTTTCGAAGGGTATGGCATTGATGCACTTGCCTTTTTGTTGAAACCATTGACATAATCAACGGTTCCACCGCCACAGGTTGATGGAGCTGAAGAGCTTAGCTGATACAGGGATTTATTCATCAGGAGGATTCCTGGAGAGCCTGGACCTCCCAAGAATTTATGTGTGCTAAGGAAAATCGCATCATAGCCATCCATTTCCCCTGATCTCATGTCGATTTTCACATAAGGACCGCTGTAGAATTCCAATAAGATTATGTTAAAATCCTGAACTGAAATTCGTTCGTATTGCGAATTTGCAAAATATTTAAAGATTGTTTACCTTGCTGCAAAGTCGAAGCAAGCAAAAGCGCCGTATTGGTGCAGAAGCCGGGCTATTTCCCGAGTGTCTGAACAGATTCCGGTGACATTGCTGCAAGCCGAGAAAGAACCAAGCATAGGGCGATTTTTCGGCTTATAACATTCGAGCTGGAACCTTAGGGCATCCATGTCGATTAGGCCATCTTCATCTAACCCGATCTCGATTACTTCTGCCAAACTACTCCTCCAGGAGAGTATATTAGAATGATGTTCATAAGGGCCAACAAAAACTACCCATCTCTCTTCACTGTTTAGGCATTTCAAGACTTTTTCCCTTATGATTGAAGGAACTGAAATTCCCATAACTTCTTGAAGTCTTTTAATTGCTGCTGTCGAACCTGAGCCACAAAACATTACTGCATCTTCCTCTCCACCTCCTAAGCATCCTTTTACATATTTACTGGCTTCATTCGCCATTTTTGTCATCCGGCATCCCACATAACTATCACTAGTATGGCTGTTACCTGCATGATCAGAACATACGTCATTATCAGAACATTAACTAATCCATAACATGACTTAAAAATACTAATTTTTTTTCCATTTTTTATTTTTGGCCTCATAGGAAGAAAAATGCATCCAACATACCGTAGACAGGAAGAACTTTGTTGATGATATAGTCCTCAATGTAACGAAGACAACGGCCTGAAGCTGTATGATCGGCGTAGGTTAGGCCGCGTTTTCCAAATGGGGTGTCGAATTCAGCATCGCGGCCGATTATCTGTGACCGAAGCCATTGAAGTTTCTTCAAACCAGATTGAGTAGTGCTACTACTACTACTGCAGGGCAATATATCCTTTTCGAGTTCATGGAATGGTCCAGCTTGATGATGCCGACATTTCAGCGGATGATGATCGTTTTGTTGCTTCACCTTCTCTTCCCAAAGGCTCAGATGCTCAAATTCCATAACCAAATTGGGATAGGATTTTTTTTTTTTTTTTTTGTTGGGAAGAAATGTACTAGGATTTGAATTCTGAAGAATGAGAGAACAGAATAGTTGGAAACTTTGGAATGTCAATATTTTAAAAAAAGGGCGATGAAAGGCCTAATTATATGTTGAAATGTTTGGTATAATTAGGGTTTTGAGATATCATAATCTGAATGAGTCAATTTCAGTATGACAATTTGCTGGAATAAGATTAAAACTAGAGGAAGTCAGACGTTAGTTTGTGTACTAAAACGATCAACTCTTGGAAAGGTTCTCAATTTAGTCGCGAGTTTACAGTGGGTAAAGACAAGTGGAGAAGAATGGGGGTGTTTAGGGACTTATGAATTTTAATCATATCATCTCACCAATCAGATTGAATCTTTTGTCCATCATGGCCACATATACCTTTAGCAATTTGGACTTTTGGTATAAAATATTCAAGGGGGATTGCATGTTTTTACGCGTTTAATACCAGGACAGTAGACATAGGTTTTTTTTTTTTTTTTTTGGTACATTATTCTCTCTGATTCTTTTCTGGAATGTGGTTTTTTGTCACCATAATTTGATTCTAATGCCCTGATTCTTTGTTCGAGAAGTCTATGTCGGATCGTGAACATCTGCATAAGTTCATGTTGGCGAAAAAGCAATTGAAAGTTTCCTCGATCCCCTCCTATGATGGCCTTTTCTAAATAGACATGAACCCCACATTTTAAATTAATATCATTATGAGTTTTAGGTTTGCTCCTGTACAAGTTATTGTTTACAAATATATTACGAAGGTCGAAGGCATTCAAGTTCTAACTATTTTTTGAATATATAAAGAGTTTACAGCGATGATTAATGACATCATACAAAACAAAAAAAAAAATTAAAACTCCATATACATTTCACTAGTGCAATGCAATGTGATATACTCAGGCAGCGACACGTATATTATAGAAAATGGGTGACTTCCAAAATGATATAATTAGATTATCGTATCAAAAACAAAAATTATATTCCTTTCGCACTGAAATACTTCTCTGATTTATATTTTCATTTTTACTTAATTGACATCTCTAAAAAAATAAATAAAATTTCACCAATATTTATTCGTTTGTACGAATCAAATGATTTATATTTTCATTTTTACTCAATTCACATCTCTAAAAAGTAAATAAAATTTCACCAATATCTCTTCGTTAGCACGAATCAAATGTACATATCTTTGGGAAAGTATAGAGAAAAAAGTTGTTCGAGTTAGAAACAAATGTACATATCTTTGAGAAAGTATAGAGAAAAAAGTTGTTCGAGTTAGAAAATGTACGTTTGACGAACAATGATCGGTTTTCTGCAAGGCACGGAAATTCTAATCAGATATATTTACTATGATGCCGAAAATATAGTTTTATTCCACATAAATACTTTTAGGCTTGTTCGCGAAATACTAGATTTGTACCAGCGGTGGTTCTGCTTCAATTTTTCTTTAATGGTAAGAAAACCAAGATGAGTAGAAGAGCTGCTGACAAGAATTAGAACTAGTTCAAACAAAGTAACTAGTTCAAGTAAAGTTTGTCACCCTTGAACCATAGTGCAAATGGTCATTTGTAAGCGACCTAAGGCTGAAATTTGAACTGGGTGAAATATATAAGAACCCTAATAAGAATAAAATTTAAAAAGAACAACCACCAAGTTTTCTGTGGGTACGTCTTTTCCTTAATAGCAGATATAAATACTAAATTTAATCCTACAAGGTAAGATGCCAAAGAAAGACAAACTTCAACGCCAAGAACCCAACAACCCTAAAGAACAGTACATCTCAACAATGGTTCTCCTTTGATCTCTCTCATTCCTCTGATTTCTTTTTCTTCTTCTTTTTATCTTTCTTCCCACTTTGCGTTTCAGCATCTTCATCGGCGGTTTCAGAATGCTTTCTCTTCTTCTTCGTTTCTCCAGCTTCTGCATCTTCAGCCTCATTTTGCGGCTGCTCACCGTCCTCATTTTCATGTTTCTTGCTTTTCTTCTTCTTTTTCTTTTCAGTTGCCTCATTTTCAGGCTCTGCAGGACCATCCTCTGCTTCTGCATCTCTCTTTTTCTTCTTCTTTTTCTTCTCATGGCCATTGACAGGAACCTCTTCAACTACATCCTCGCTCTTCTGTGTTTCCTCCTCAGTCCTCCCAAGAATAACATCAGCAGCAGGATTGTAGACCTGTACATAACAGAAGTTGAGGATTCCGAACTCCAAAGTTCCCAAAGCACTAGAAATTTCGCTATTGAAAATTTTTAATTACTGACCTTGGCAGGAGTTATCAGTCCACCAGCACCCTTCTTCCTATCTTTATCATAAGATTCAATCTTTGGTTTGCCTTTAACAGATCCAGCAGAACGAATAAGTTCCTTTCCATCCAAACTTCTCAATCGAGCCTCAACCTACAAACAGAATCAAAAGTATTATTCATGTGAGCAAGACAATCAGAATCTTAAACTCAATAATCACCAAGAGTACCTTGGCTCTCCTCTCCAACCCCAATGTACTGTCCTGGTTTTCGCCGAGAGCATCACATCGAATGCAAATTGCAGCTGAAGCAGCAAGACTTCTAGCGATTTTACCCTTATTTTTGGGTGCTGCCTGACCAATTAAAGATGCATGGTATATAAGACCATACTTAGGAGTTGCATGCTTTGTCTTGAGTGCTCTGAAAAGGGCTTTTTCTGCACCAAGGATCTGTACTGTACTTCCCGGTTGTTTAGCAAGATTGAGCAAGCTGCCGCCATGAGCAATAAGGCGAGCCCCAACTAGTTCGCCGACAAGAGCGGTAAGATTCGGGGCAATGGTGTTCATCCTGCTTTTCAAGTAGTCATATAATTGAGCTCTGTACTCGGCAAAAGAAAGAACTTGGCTGCAGAGATCCTTTATGTTCATTAAGTCAAGCTCACTAATTTCAGTTCCCATTGATATCAAAGCAGCTTCCTTGAGCTCTGTTTCAACTTCCTCAGGGAGTATCTGAAGTAACAGAAAACACACCACCCAAAACCAATGTCACCTCCTATATGAGCAACTAAATATTTAAAAAAAGTCAAATTTTATTAATTGAATATCAGAAGTGATACTAACATAAAAAGAATTCACTTAAGAATTACAATGCCTATGCTTAAAAAATGCTATCTCCCTTCCCGTGACAAGAATGCCCATAAAAAGGATCCTCTCTTGGTCCATCATAAGTACCCGGGCCAACAGGATTATCATAGAAATCCTTTTTATGCTTTCACATTTTGTAAAACACTGAAGCATAATGTAAATTCCCTTTTTATACCCCAAAAAATAACAAAAATAAGCAACAAGAAATAAGACATAATAATCAAGTCACTAGCTAGTTCAAAAAATAGGCCTTTTTCTCAGAAAATCAGAATGGGCCTCCAAACACCAACCCTTCCAGCAATCAACAAAAGCAGTTGACTCAGAACAAATAAGATTGACTGCTAGCGGTTGTGCAAAGAAAAAAACTCACCTCAGAAAAGTCAAGTTTTGGAGCATTAGAGCGGTCACCCATCAATTTTACAGTCTTGGCATACTGTATATTATCTTGCACAATCTTTGCCAGCTCCGGAAAATGCCACCCGTACCATTCTCGAACTCTCATCGCATATGTGTTTAACTCTTTATCAATGTCATCCAGAAGGCCAATAGCCTGAATGATCATGGTGTCCACCTAAAAAATGTACCGGGTAAGAGGACATATTTTCAAACAAAGATCTAGCATAACATGTAGCAATCATCAAGAAATTCTAGAACCAAAAAAATCAACAATAAACTTATTTCATTCTGTTTAATCAACTGAAATAAATTACTCAGAACTTATTTTGCTCTGTTAATCAACTGAAATAAATTACTCAGGAGTTAACATCAGTTGCAACAAAAATGAAAAAAAAAACCACTATTCAGCTAAAGGGAATACAATAACTGCAGTATCATTACAAGATTGATGCTGAAAAAGTTAGGTCATTTGCAACATTAAGAGATAAAATCAGTTAGTATATCAACTTAAGAACTTCGTGCTGAAATTTCTTGAACCAAAAGCTAGGAAGTACCACATCACACAAATACAAGGTTAAGCGCATCTACCTTATCTGGGCTGAATTTTAGTTTGTATCTCGACATGCTGTGAGATAAACCCAGGCTCATTGGATTCAAATCTTGGGCACCTAAACCAGATATTAGGTCCGACAACTGACTTCTTACGCCTCTCATCAGTTCCATGACAGAATTGTTGTGCACACAATCAATTTGCTACAATTCATTAAATGGCTAGTCAGTTAACCTGAGACAAGCACTGCAGAAAAAACAGATCATTTATGTGAGCAAATAGCATCAAGCTAACCAGCTTCTCCTTGATTGCATTCCCAAGTTTTGAGTCAGCTACAGCCAAGGCTTCACCTTCACAATGGGCGCGTAAAAATTTACGGAGACCTTTGCTCGGCTTGCTATCAATCAATAACGTGGCTGCTGCCAATGCCTCTGAAATATTTTCGAACTTTGAAAAAGCTTTTAGCTTTACAATCTGCAACAATAGTTTGAACAAAACACAACTAGCTGAGAGAAGAGAACAATACAGAAATAGGAAAAGCCAAACTGAGATAGACTACAGAGCAATTAAACAATAACATTGAAAAACAACTCCAGGAGAGTAAACACTTAAACAGGAAACTTAAATTTTAAAAATCATTTCCAACGCTTAACAACCATACATGTAACAAGACGGACACTTAATATATTCAACCAAACAGACAAAAATAACATAACATTGAAAAATTTTGTCCATCAACCAATAGAAACAAAACGGACACACCTTTCTTGCAGAGTCAGCAGTGGAGAACTCCTTCGATAAGTCCTGCAAACGCCAAATTCGTATTAGCCATCAAAACCGACCTCAAAATAATAGAAGTTACTGCTGGAGCGCAATCATTATCTACGAACAAGTGTTACAAAAAAAAAAAAAAACAACCCATGTTTTGAATAAGCATGCAAAAGCAAATTAGTACACAAATCACCTCAACTTTGGAGAGTTTGCCTTCATCCAAGACTTTGAAAAGGGCAAAGCCCGCGGGGGTTTCAAACAGCACAAGCATTTTTCCTTAACCCCTGTAAAACAAAAAACCACCATTTTTAGCAATCAACTAGCTTAACAAGAACGAATTAATCGAAACCCAGAAACCCTTCGACGTAAATCGGTGGGTGAATAGGAGAGAATTACAAGTTCGATTGAGCGGCAGAAGAACGCAGATGCCGGCGTTGGAGATTTTGAGATTAGGGTTTTGGCGCAGCGGTGGTTTTTATTGTAAAAAAAAAAAAGGAGAGGAGAAGAGCGGAGGAAGCTGCTCCTAGGGTTTAAGGGTTTTGTGAGAGAAAGTAAGAACTTTATTTATAGGGTCGGGTCAAGTTGGATACCAAAAATTTTGACTTGGGTTAAACACTTAAACCGGGATGCTGTGTTGCTGCTTGGGTTTTTGACTCGGGAATCGACTTTTAGTTGGACCGCATGAAAAAAAAAAAAAATACTATACACACTCCGTATAAGAAAAAAATGGAATTTTTTAGTTATTGTTGCTATGTGATACTTGTACCTATTTTCCATCCAACTCATTACTTTACTTATTTGTTTTAATTTTAATACATTGCTAAATAACTTTCAGAGCTTTTTTTGCTCTATAATTTATTTATTTTTATTTAATAATAACTTTTTTTTGGGTAAAGGGTAAATAGATATCATTGAGAACTTATCCATGTACAAGCCTACCAGCAACTCTATTACATGATATTTTTACAAATATATTCCAAGTTTCTATAAAAACTGACATTTAACTTCTTACTGTTAAATGTTAGTCTATTGGGGTGGATTTTTTCTTTTTTTATAAAAAAAAATTCTTACTGTTTTGACAAAAATAATGCAATGTGATAGTCAAAATCACCTGGATTTCTTTAAATCTAGTATCGGGATCCTTTTCTTGTTACTTAAATTTGCTGTTATTCCTCTCATTCCATATTCCATAAACAACAGCATTCACCAAAGCAAACAGAAGCTTTTGTTTACCTTGTTGACTCTTCCATTTCTTCAGCATCCTTCTGACAGTAAAACTCAAACAGCTTAGGCCTAAATTCAATCCTAGCCATCGCTTTATTTTATTAATCAGTTGCTGTGAATAACAACACTAGAAAAATAGATGATCAACATTTTCAATCTTCTCTAAACACAGTTCACATTCCATTGGCACCTTCAGTAGATTCATTTTCATCAATCTTTCTTGAGTGAGCAGTCTGTCTTTAAGAGCCAACCATGTGATAAAGCAGTGCTTGAGAACTGAAAAAGAACTCCAAATCAGTAAGAAGTTAGTGCTACAAGAAGTACTTTATTGAAACAAATAAAGAAGATCAAAAAGTAAGGTTTTGAAAATAATTGTAACAAGATATAAGGAAGAACACGAATATAGATCGAGTAGTTACAATTATGAAAACTTAGATCTCACAAAAAGGCTAATAGAACTTGGAGCAAATTATGAAAAAATAAAAACTTCGACTTAGGGTTATAGACAAAACCCTATTTCGGCCAATACACAAATAAAGGGCTTATATTTGCGAAACCCTAACCACCAAAGATCCAAATATTTCGAAAAAGATATGTGCAAATAATAGTAATTGCACTTCAAATCAAATTCAAATACCAATATCCTTCTATACCATCTTTCTTTTTATTTTTACTTTTTTTTTCACGGCTATTTTTTTTTTACTAAAAAAAAAGTAGATTAGGGATTAAGATACCCTAGATCTGATAATTTAGGAGAAGAAATGTTTTTATTTTTATTTTTACTAACAATAATGGATCTAACTATAACAACTTCAATCAAATCAAACAAGAATAGAATCGAAGCAAAATAGTGAGATCTATAATAAAAGACTCAAAAATTAAAAAGAACAATTAGAGATCTAACCAAAGATGAGCTTTAGTAGATCAAAACAAAAACAAGTCTTCAAGAACCTAAGCCTTGAGGCCAATTGATACGAATCTTGAGGCAAAGGTGACAGATTTACCTTGACGCGGAAGCTATGAATTTCCCAGGACTTGAAAACTTGCAAATCCAATATTATGGACTCCAAACTCACGAAAAATAAAAGAAAAGAAGAGATGCAAATCACAAAAATTTGCACCAAAAAGGGATGGAAAGGTTTAGAAGATGTAGAATGTGTTTAAGGTTAGCAACCTAATTGGTCACCCCTCTAACAACCCTATCCCTTCGATTTATGGATAGAACGGCTAGCAAAAAGACTCCAATGAACAACTAACAAAGCTCCACAAGTAGAAAAACACCTATTCTACTCGCATGCATCAACAAAGCACAAGCTTGTGTGCAATGCACTAATCTTCGAAAAGAGTAGAAAAAGAACAAAGAGTTTCCTCTCGTCTCATATTGAAATAATTCATCAAAGGTACAAATGAAAAACTGGCCAAACACCCCTATTTATAGTAGAGGGGGCCGAAATTCTCCTATGCAGTAGGAGAAGAGTTTGATCTCTAACTCTATTCCTACTTTAAAGAACTAGAAATCAACTTAACATCTAATTGACAACTTTTGTCTTATCTATTAAGGCAATGTATCTAGACACCTTTATAGACTTAAGACACACTAGTCTAATGAAAATAAAACTCCAAATACAAAGAGATATTCTCTCAAAAGAATCTTATCCTTATCTTGATAAAAATCTTCCTGAGTTGCCAACTCTATCAATATCTTCTTTGTAGAGTAATCATAGCCATCTAATCTTGATCTAATCTCATCCAACGGTTGAGAGTAGACACCAAGGAATAGACTTCTTATTTTGAATAAACTCTAAATTAGATAAAAGAGAATCATATCAAATCTTATCCTTCCATGTGATAAGATTTAAATGATCTTATCTCTAAAAGATAGGGAATCTTCCAAATTTTATCCTTCCACAAGTGTGATAAGATTCAAATGATTTTATCCCTAAAAGATAGAGATTCTAAATCCTAAAAATTAGGAGATGGGACCGGCCTCCCTTGCTTGGTTTGTGGGCTGAAATTTCCTTCCTCAAATGGGCCTTGTAACACATTAATAATCTTGGGCTTGTAACTTCCAAACTTGACATTCTCTTGGGCTAAACAATTTGATATAAGATTATTAAGTGCACTTTTCATCTTTTTACTTCTAGCTCGAGTCATTAGGCCTCCAATGTTGGATAATGGATCTTGAGCCACTCCTTGAGCTTGGATAGTACTTGGAACCCGAACATCTTGATCATCTTGGACTTGATTACCAAGGATGTTCACATCATTCCCTCCGTCCTCGAAAGGATTCGACCTCGAATCCAAAGCTTGTACAGCTTCAGCATTTGAGAAATTAAACGGAGATAAATCAGAAACATTAAAAGTCGCACTAACATTATACTCACCAGGAAGGTCAAGTTGATAAGCATTGTTGTTCAAACGCTTGACAACTTGGAAAGGACCAGCTCCACGAGGATCTAACTTCGATTTAACCTTTGTAGGAAATCGAATCTTCCTTAAATGAACCCAAACCCAATCACCAGGTTCGAATATCATTTCCTTACGCCCCTTGTTGGCTATCCGCGCAACATGCTCATTTCTCTTCGAAATATTCATGTGTACTTTCTCATGAAGAGAACGTACATACTCAGCTTTCTTGGCTTCATCTGCATTAAGATACTCAGAAACAGGCAATGGAGACAAGTCTAAAGGAGTTAAGGGGTTAAATCCATAAACAATTTCAAACAGAGAATATTGGGTAGTAGAATGGACAACACGATTATATGCAAATTCAGCAATATGCAAACAAGCTTCCCAATTCGTACGATTCTTTTGGATCAAAACACGAAGCAAAGAACCAAGAGTCCGATTAACCACCTCCGTTTGGCCATCTGTTTGAGGATGAACAGTTGTTGAAAACAACAGTTTTGTACCTAGTTTTTTCCCACAAAGTTTTCCAAAAGTAGCTCAAAAATCTAACATCTCTATCAGACACAATAGTTCTAGGTAAACCATGCAATCTAACAATTTCACGCATAAATAAATCAGCCACATACTTGGCATCATCAGATTTATGACAAGGAATAAAATGTGTCATCTTAGAAAACCTATCAACTACCACTAAAACCGAATCACACCCTTTTTGAGATTTAGGTAATCCCAAAACAAAGTTCATTGAAATATCAGTCCAAGGGTGGGTAGGTACAGGTAAAGGCGTATATAACCCATGTGGCTGTGACTTAGACTTTGCTTGTTTGCATTCAATACAAGTAGAACAAACTTTTTCTACGTCACGTTTTATATTAGACCAATAAAAATGCTGACATAAAACATCATAAGTTTTCAAAATACCAAAATGACCCATAAGACCACCACTATGAGATTCATGCACTAATGGTTCACGCAGAGAACAAGTAGGCACACATAATTTATTATCTTTAAACAAGAAACCCTCATGCCTATAAAACTTGTTAAATGCGCCACTTTCACATGCTTCAAAAATGGATGAAAAATCAGAATCAGAAGCATACAAATCCTTGATGTATTCAATCCCTAATAACTTAGCATCAAGCACTCCCAAGACACAAAGCATCTTGACATTAATGAGTGTGTCTCTCATTAGAATTCCAAAGGCATGCTTGTCTCTTTGGCCGAAATTCCAACCACCCATGCTGATCAATGAGGTTGCTGCTGCCATTGCTGGAAGAAGAGAAGAAGACCTATCAATTTTGGGTTCCAGACATAAGGCCTAGGAAGGATTAAACAATTACAAGCATGGAGAGGCTCTCTTGATTGAAGAACCGGCTTCAGGGCTCTATAAAAGGGGAGTTGCACTCTCAGAACTGGGCATCTCTTGCTACACCTTTCAGTTGCCAAGAACACACAGAAAAAACTCCAGAAGAAGGCAAGAAGGAAGAAAGAACAACAACAACTCAATAAGGAAGCCAAGTTGAAGAAACAGCCATCCCAGTCACTGCCTCACTTCCATAAGTGAACTCTTTCACTCTCAGGAGTGGTTCAGAACTACACAAGTTTTTTTCTCATCTCTTGACTGTTAGCTTGAACTTCATTTTATGATGCATACTTCTATGATGTCTTTTGATGTAGTAGATGTAGCATTAATCTGCATGAGTAGCTAAGTAGCTTCCAGGGGTTAATCTCCCCAACCTATGCTGGAGTTGTTGTAATGCACTGGTTCTGTTCTTTGTTTTGAAGTTGAAAGTTTTTTCTACATTCATTTACTTGATCACTAAATTGAATGCATGCTAGAACTAAGGGAGATCTGGAAAGATAAACTTGGTTTGGATTGTTTCAACTTCAACTTATGACATAGAGGTAACAGTCTATGGTTTTAACTAACATAGGAATATAC